CCAAATGAAGGAAAATGTTTTTCCTGAAACAATTAGATTTCTTTAATGCTGAGCTGAAGAACATAAACTCTTGCTGTGGCAATCAACTGCGTTTGATCAATTTTTGAAAGCTGCCTTTATTCTAAATGTACTGTGTGCTATACTTGCGCATTTGCAACACATTTCAAATGTGCAGGGCCTTGCTGTAAACCCATTTTAAAACCATGGCTGATACACCTGGCGCAATCATTTGCAGCAGAAGCATTTGCCATCCCGCAGCTATACTTCACAAAGGGACAGGGAATGCACTGCACACGTATAGAGCGCAGTGCACCATAATGCATATACCGTGCTATGTGGTTTGCTGCAGTTTAAAAAAGTGTCATGTACACTTTTTTTTTTTTTTTTAATCAACTTTCCTAGTTTGATGCACAATTTGCATGAATTTAATGCACAGAGTAAAACCTATATATACATTTTGTCTGCTGAGGTCATCCGATCCCAATTTTAACCTACTGTGCAGACGTAATCCTCTCAACAGACAGATGACTCCCCTAGCATGTGTGCATACCTTGATGAAGCCTCTATTGGTACTTTGAGATGGAAAAAGACTTGACGGCTACTACCTCTTGATGCCACTGATTTGTGTCCTCTAATCAGGCTGTACTTAGACTGCTTTATTGTACAAAGTTGATCTTAAATTTCAATCTGAACTCCAGGCTAAAGAAATATTGTCTAAATATGAGAAGCCTGTTTATTCCTACTTGAATCTTGGTGTCCTTTGCATATTTCTTCCAGATCTGTGTAGCAACCCAGCGTTTAACAACATCTGCACTTCGCCCCAGCACAGGAGCTTCCTGTAATAAAGACCAGTCACTGCTGCTCTTTTCTTGTGCAGGGTGACTGGTCTTGTGTCCACCCCCTCTTGTAATTTTCTGTGGGCAGTCTGTATTAGGTGGTGCCCACTGGGTCCCTCCCACAGCTCTGCTCTCTGTACAGGCTATGTGGCGCACAGTAATGAGGTCAGTTAGTTATACCAAGTAATACTTGGATTTGCAAAGGCATTTGATGCAAAGTGGATTTATATTCTAGATATGAAAATGAAAAATATTATATTTAATTTTATATTTTTTTTACATAATGAAGTACAGTAAAAATTTACTGAGACACCTTGTAAATAAGTTTTTGCAGAAAATGCCTTTTGTCGGCTGTCAAAGCATGTGGTGCACATTGTCCTCTTTGCCGCGGGGCGCTATGTAGATGGGAGAGATCTGCACCAACAAGAGCATCAGACATCGAGATACAAATGAGAACAATCTCAGCGGGGTGCATGTACTGCGGGAAGCAAGTAAGGTGGTGCTTCAGCTTCGCATATTCTGTATGCTTGTATGTCCTGTATGCTTATTTTTATCAACAACACATCAGTACTAGAGCACAAAAGTACCAGAATACTGAGCTGGTGAAAGGGAGTTTGACTTCTAAGCATCAATATGGATTTTTTTTTTTGCTAGGGTTAAACAGCAGTAATTTGAGTCTACAGTATTGTGACTCCTAGTATCCAATCAGATTTTAACGATGGCAGCCTCCATGCTGTCATTCTCATAAATATGAGAATGACAGTTCAACTGTCATTCATGTTCTAACGCTTCAACAATTTTGTAAACCAGAACAGGTCTAGAGATTTGATTCTTGTTTACAGCATGCTTATTCCAGAAGTCAAAATTATTGCAGCCAATCAGCTAGGCATCCTGCTATGCTCTTGTCATGACAGGTGTACTTTATTGCATATTGGTGAATAGCACTTCACGGTTTAGCACTAAATGATGTAACTGCAGCTCCTACAATAAAGAAGGTGCACCAACATTTGAAATACACGTGGTAACCATTCAGTGCCTCAAATCCAGTAACCAAAAGACATAGTAAGCTGCTGCCCATGGGCCAAGTTTAAAAACGTTTCAAGTGATTTTTGTTTTTTTATAATTTTTCAGATATATGGGAGGCTGTCCATTAAGATATATATATATATATATATATAATCTATCCTGCCTTTCTGCATAAGCTTACCTTTTTAACTGAAGGAGTATTCTGTAGATTTGATTTCATCTGGATATTTGACTTTCAAGTGCATTATATTATATAAGACTAAAACAGATTCTCAATTCCTTCCAGGTGAAATTGTCCTACATGAGGCTTCATTACAAGTCGTGCAAAAGTTACCAGGAAGAATATGGGTTCGCACCTAAAGTATCCAAAGAGGAAAACACTACCTGTGTAACAAAGCCGTAAGAATAGTGTGCTAAAATATGGTTATGTGATGGTCTATAGAGGTGTGGTTGTTTGTTTTTTTTTTGGTGGTCTCAACTTAACAAATAAGCTTTACATGCACCTTAACCATACAATTTTTTTTTTTTTTTTTTTTTTTTTTTCTTCCAGCGAAACCCGAACACGCTAGCGCCATGCAGCAATTTTTAGTATTTTCTATTTTTGGAGAATATATAGGAGAGAGGGAGGATGGAGACTGAGGAGAGGCAACCAGGAGAGATTGGGAGGAGTGACATCTTGTGTCTCTGATTCAGGGCCATACACTGCAGAACTTGGTAAATGGGCCAAAGCACAAAGTGTCTGAAAAAGTCACAAAATTGTTTGCTGAGACCCATTTTTTTTGGCATTGGGCACATTAACCACTTCCTGGCCGGCCGTTGTAAACAAACGGGCGGCCGGGAGCTCTCTGGATCTGAGCGGGCTCAGCTACGCCCCCCTC